CAGACTCTCTCTCCAGGAAGAGAAGGAACATTTTTCACAATTCTAGCCCCTTTCAAGAATGACCTCCTTGGCTCAAAGAGGATCTTGCAGTTATTAGCAGCAAAAAATGAATTATCCTAAAGCAAACTCTTTTCTTTTTTAAGAAAAGATTTCATTTTGTGGGGGGAAAACCTAATCTCAAGTCCTAGAAAATGGAAGGTTAACAACCAACTTGCTTTAAGGAGAGAAATATGACAAGCAAAATTGCCAAGTCTGCTGAAGTACTAATCAAGCATATTGTTCCCTTGATTCTAGAAAATTGCAACGTGCTTTTAAAAAGGTTGAAAAGATGTTCATGGTGTACTCTTGGTTTACTTTGTCTGTAAATGTGTGTTCCTGTGTCCTGTAGTGTTGGTGGTTCCAGGGCCAGTGAGGAGGTGGTGAAGACCATGGCTGCTTGTGGTGTTCTGGTGTTCCCCTGGCAGAGAGCTGCTTGTCAATCCAAATGACAGACGGTTCCCTCTGCTGGCTGAACTGAAATTCAGCCCTCCACACTGAGACAGTCTGGGAGGAATCACGAATGGTCTCACTGATTATTAGAACACAGTTTTGAGTTTCATCTTTAAAAACCTAATCTCGACCAGCCCGACCAACATGGTGAAACCCCGTCTCTACTAAAAATACAAAATTAGCCGGGCGCGGTGGTGCGTGCCTATAATCCCAGCTACTTGGGAGGCTGAGGCAGAAGAATCACTTGAAACTGGGAGGCAGAGATTGCAGTGAGCCGAGATTGTGCCATTGCACTGCAGCCTGGGCAACAAGAGCAAAACTCCGTCTCAAAAAAAATAAAAATAAAAAACAAACAAACAAACAAAAAACTAACCTCATCTATCCCCATGTATGATTAGCTTAAGTGCAGTCCAGAACTGGTAACTCCCTTCCTTCCTTCCTTCCTTCCCTCCCTCCCTCCTTCCCTCCCTCCCTCCCTCCCTCCTTCCTTCCTTCCTTCCTTCCTTCCTTCCTTCCTTCCTTCCAAATCATTTTCACCAATAATGTCCTGTCCTTCCCTCCACCCTCCACTTTCTTTGCTGCCTCTAACCCCTGCCCAAAATTCCTTACCATAATGGGATGTATTTGACTAGTCCATTGTTTATACTTTTACATACATATATGTGAATCCACAGGAGCAGTCCCCAACTTTTTGGCACCAGGGACTGGTTTTGTGGAAGACAATTTTTCCATGGATGGGGAGTGGGGGATATGGTTTCGGGATGAAATGGTTCCACCTCAGATCGTCGAGCGTTAGGGTCTCATCATAAGAAGCAGGCAGCCTAGATCCCTAGATCCTCGCATGCACAGTTCACCATAGGGTTTCTGCTCTTATGAGAACCTAATGTCCCTGCTGACCTGACAGGAGGCGGCGCTCAGGCAGTAGTGCTTGCTTGCCCGCCACTCACCTCCTGCTGTGTGGCCCAGTTCCTAACAGGCCACAGACTGGTACTGGTCTGCTGCCTGGGGGTTGGGGACCCTGATCTACAATGAATACATACTATTGTGTTTGTATGTTTAACATTTTCCTTTGTGTTGCTTTTCTGCCCATGACATTTATGAAACATCCACACTGATGCCTATAAAACCAATCTATGCTTTTTAACAGCCATAGGTCCTTTAATCATATAAATGTAGCATATTTTATTTACCCATTTGCCTTTAAGGGTGACTTTTAGGTCATTTCCAAGTTTCGGTATACTGAAAAAGGTGCTGCAATAATTATTTTAGTACATATCTCCTTATATGTGTGTTTCTTAGCCCTGGTATAACCCCCAAGAAGAGTCACTATGCCATGGCATATGTGTAATGGCACTTTTGATAATATAGTAAAATTGCTCAATAGAATAATATACCAATTCATGATTCTGCTGGAAGTAAACTAGAATAATATGCTATTTTTTCCTCATATCTTGGACAACACTGAATTGTGTCAGTCTTTTTCATATTAACTAGTCTGACAGAAATAAAGTAGAATCCCATTATTTTCGTTTGCATTTTCCTCATGTTTAGTTAGAGTATTAGTCGGTTTTCATGCTGCTGATAAAGACATACTGGAGACTGGGCATTTACAACAGAAAGAAGTTTAATGGACTCACAGTTCCACATAGCTGAGGAGGCCTCACAATCATGGCGGAAGGCAAGGAGGAGCAAGTCACATCTTACATGGATGGCAGCAGGCAGATAGAGAGCTTGTGCAGAGAGACTTCTGTTTTTAAAACCATCAGGTCTCTTGAGACTTATTCACTCTCATGAGAACAGCATGGAAAAGACCCATACCCACGATTCAATTATGTCCCACCAGGTTCCTTCCATGACACATGGGAATTATGGGAATTACAATACAAGGTGAGATTTGGGTGGGGACATAGCCAAACCATATCAGTGAGGTTGAGCTGCTTTTCTTATGTCTATGGTCCATTGTTTCTTCTTTTAATCACTATTTTAAAAAATATTTATTTATCTTTTTCTCTTTGTTGATTTTAGGAGTTCCTTATGTATTCTGCTTATTCCCTGTTAAATATGTTGCTAATATCTTTGGCTAGTCTGGCATTTGAGAAGATAATTTATTCAGATGATCAGTACAGTTCAATTGTTATGGTTTCTAAATTAATTCTATGTACTATCAAGAAGTCAGGCATATTTCTATCTGCAATCTATTGAAAATCCTTTTGGATCTGCTTTCAAAATATTTTGCAAAGGACTGATCAGTTTTCACTATCCTGCGTGCTACCTGGCTAACACCTTTATTCACCAAGATAACTGCAGGAGCCTCCTAAGTGGCCTTGTTCTTCAGTTTATTCTTTCCAAACAGCCAGAGAGAGCTTATTAAAATGTAAGTCAGATCTTGGTTCACTTCTGCTCAGAACTAGGCAATGGCTTCCCACCTTGCTCCAAGTAAAAGCCTAAGTTCTTAGAGTGGCCCATAAGGTCCAGCACCCTCCAGCTCCTTGTCATCACTCTGACCTGGTTTCCTGCCACTCTCCCCTGGCTATTCCAGCCACACTGGCCTCCCTGCTCTTCTAACATACAAACATGCACCTGCCTGGGATGTTTGTACTTTCTGTTCCCTCTGCCTAGAATTTCTTCATCCAGAGCCATCATCATGGCTGTCTCCTGTACCTCAAATCTTCCCTGAGACATTACCTTTTCAGTGAGATCTTTCCTAGTCTCCTTGCTCAAAAATGAAACAATCTCCCCAAACACACTGTATTGATTTCCTAGGGTGGCAGTAATTAAGTACCATATACTGAGTGGCTTAAAACAACAGAAATTTATTGTCTCATAGTTCTGGAGGCTACAAGTCTGAAATCAAAGTGTCACCAGGGCCATGCTCCCTCTGAATCTGCAGGGAAATCTTTCTTTGCTTCTACCTAACTTCTGGTGATTCGCCGGCAATCCTTGGCTTGCAGCTACATAACTCCAAAGCTACATAACTCCAATCTCAGCCTTTGTCCTCACATGGTGTTCCTTCTCCCCTGTGTCTCTGTGTCTTCATGTGGTCATCCTCTTATATCCAATCATATTGGATTAGAGGCCCGCCCACCAAACTCCAGTATGACTTCATCTTAACTTAAATAATTATATATCTGTATCAATTCTATTACCAAATAAGGGCACATTCTAAGTACTGAGGGTTAGGACTTCAACATATCTTTTTTCCTGATGGGGAGGGGTTAGGGGAACAGAATTCAACCCATAACACTCACCACCTCCCTTCCTGCTATGTGTTTCTCCAGAGTCCTTAGCACTATTTAAGCAATCATGTATTTTCATATGTATTTTGTTTGTTTGTCTCCTCTACCAGAAGGTAGACAGCATCATGGTCCCGATCTGGGACCATTATGTTCACTACTATAGAAAATAGTGCCTGACACCTTAGTAAAATCTCAATAAATATTTGTTAAATGAATGATCATCTGCTTTCAATTACTACATTGAGCTGACCATGTAACATGATGTGGACCAAAATTTTTAGATTAAAAAAGGAAACAATTACCTCTAAATGAGATCCTAGGGAATGAATTGGTGTTTATGATATTTTTATTTCAAAGAAGTGTACATGAAGGAAACCCAGAGGTAGAGGTCAGAGCAGTGAGGAACCAGCCAGTTGGGGGATTAGTGCATTGTCATTGAGTGATTTATGGGCAGCAAGGTCTCAATAGCCTCCCTGTCACTTGTCCACTTTGGGGTTATCCCTGCAAGTAAGGTGGGTTATGGGGCTTTCACTTCACCCTAGCATCTAACATGTGCCAGAAACTGTGCTTGGTGCTTTATTCTTATTTAGAAAAAAAAAAAAATCTTCTTCATAAATGTATCCTTCAAATATTATTATACCCGTTTGATAGAGATGGAAAGTGAGTCTCAGCGAAATTGAGCAGCGACATAGGACATAGACATAGTAAACACATTACTAGGATCCAAACTCAGGCCAGTGGGACCAAAAAAACCCATATTCCTTTGCTTGTCAGATTCCTTCAGATTCTGTGGACACCAGAGTTTCAAGGGAAAGTGAGTAAACTGGCCCACACATGATGCTTCATACAAATGACTTGGCATAGACCATCAGAAAACCAGAGAAAGACTCTTCCCACCAGACACATGGGTCAGCCTTATCTCTTTGCAAAATGGAAAGCCCCAGTGCCAGGACTTTCCAGTTCTTGAGGAGGGTCAAATGATGCGGCTGAAACAACCCTGGACTAGGAATCAGAAATGAATAATTAAGGCACGGTTCTGCCCCTTTTCTTGTGTGATCATGTATGAACCACTTATACCCTTTTGAGCCACAGTCTCCCATGTGCAGACTAATGACAATGCATACAAAAATCACATATGTACTTCCATTCTGCCCTTTTAACAATACCTGTGTGGCAATGCTCAGCATTCACGGTGAATATTCCTAATGAAATTGAACCTAGAGCCATCTGGATCACTGCTGAAATAATCATCTGAATTCCTTCTCCTTGGTGTAGGTGTCCTGGGAATACCTGCCTGCTTAGACCTTATGTAAAAGCTCTGTGCATCCTGCCACTGAGGACTCCGAAGAGGCAGCAGTCTTCTGAAAGGTAGGGTTTACTTAATTTTGATTTTTTTTTCAAAGAGTTTGAAATAATTGACCTGCTATGAGTACCCTTATAATAGTAGTAATGTTCCTATGTACATGTAAAATAGAACTTTTAAAATGGTAAAATTTCAGGGCTAGATTCCCTTGGAGAATTTCCCCTCTTTCGACTTCTATTTGTAGCTGCCATTTTAAAAATTGGGGTATAAATATTATGTCAGTTAAATAAAAGAATGATGACTTCACTTTCTGAAGAAAGCATTCCCCTTCTTTTCCATGAAATGTAACTTACCTGTTACCTGATTGACATGCCATTATATTATCCTTTCCCCAGCAGTTACACATATTTAATAATTTTTATGTGTAAAAAGTAAGATTAAACAGTTACAAAGTCAAGTTGTTATGTTTTGCATGGCTTTAAGAATGCTAGTGGAATGGAAATGAAATTAGGAGCAGCAGGAGGAGGCTCTGTTATGAAACAGAATTCCTTCCACGGCATGGTACCGTTCGTGGTCAGAGGAAGTCCTAGTGGCATATACTGGGATGGACAGTGAAGGGTAGGTCTTACAAAGAGGCTTTAAGTTAGAGTAAAATAATCACTTGTCTGTATGCATCTTTGAACGATTTCACTGGATATGTTGAATATGTATTTTTAAAAATAGCAGCAAAGGGCCTATAATCCCAGCAATTTGGGGGGCCGAGATGGTGGATCACTTGAGGGCAGGAGTTTGAGACCAGCCTGGCCAACATGGTGAAACCCCGTCTCTACCAAAAATACAAAAATTAGCCAGAAGCAGTGGTGGGTGCCTGTAATCCCAGCTGCTCAGGAGGCTGAGGCAGGAAAATCGCTTGAACCCGGGAGGTGGAGGTTGCAGTGAGCCAAGATCGTGCCATTGCAGTCCAGCCTGAGTGACAGAGTGAGACACTGCCACAAAAAAACCCAAAATAATAATAATAGCAATAAAGTAGGAGCAATGCACTAATCTGGTAATCTCTAGCATGTCGTCAGGGGACCGTGCTCATGTAACCCCTCCCTAGGACTCATATTTACTCCTTTCCTTTTCTGTCACTTCATCTTATCTTTACACCTTTAACAATATCTCTCATTCCCAGGTCTCAGACAATTTAACATGTATAATAATATGTATATTGAATAATCCTATGTGCCAGAACACAAAGATACTATGCTCCTTTTTCTGCTTCCAGTTGAGACCCAGTTTCCTGTATCCACTTTACAATGTCAACCAGCTTATCCTTCGTGCCGCCTTCCCTTTCCCTCTCATTCCACAGTCACTTGAAACCCATGGTTTATGCAAAATTTGCAAAGTTAGGCAGGATTGCTCCTAGAGTTGTAGAACTGTGAGACATTGCTGCATCTTGTCATGGGATGAGGCAGGCATCTTTAGATAGTTTACCTGGAAAACAAAGAAAATTTAAAGGCAGTAAATGAAATAAGGCAAAATGGAGCACTGGTGTTATGTGCCTTTTCATATGAGCCTTTGCATATAATTATGTGATCCTTTTTGTTATTGTTTGGGTTAGCGTTTTAAGCCCTGAAGGAAGGCTTTTTTTTTTTTTTTTTTTTTTTTTTATGGAGGCTCCCTCTGCTACCCAGGCTAGAGTACAGTGGTGCGATCTCAGCTTACCGAAACCTCTATCTCCTGGGTTTAAACAATTCTCATGCCTCAGCTTCCCAAGAAGATTTCATTACATGCATCACCAGGTCTGGCTAAGTTTTTGTATTTTAGTAAAGATGGGGTTTCACCATGTTGGCCAGCCTGGTCTTGAACTCCTGACCTCAAGTGATCCACCCATCTCAGCCTCCCAAAGTGCAGGGATTACAGGAATGAGCCATTGCGCCCATCCAGAAGGCTCTTTTTAAACATAAAAGCTGTCAATATAAAATATATTGTTTCTGGAAGGGTGGCATTTTAATAATAATTACTGATAAAAAGAACTGGCAGGGCATGGTGGCTCACTCCTGTAATCCCAGCACTTTGGGAGGCCGAGGCAGGCGGATCACAAGGTCAGGAGATCAAGACCATCCTGGCTAACACAGTGAAACCCCGTCTCTACTAAAAAAATACAAAAAAGTAGCCGGGTGTGGTGGCGGGTGCCTGTAATCCCAGCTACTCGGGAGGCTGAGGCAGGAGAATGGCATGAACCCAGGAGGCAGAGTTTGCAATGAGCCAAGATCGCGCCACTGCACTCCAGCCTGGGCAAAAGAGCAAGACTCCATTTCAAAAAAAAAAAAGAACTGTAGACTATTTAAGTTTTAGAAACCCTACTTACTCCTAGAAAGACATATATTTCGTCTCCTAATAGTGAAGGATATGTGCCCGATGTCTCCAAAACCCCTTTGCTATTTCTTGTCTTTACACAGACAGACTCAGAGTTCTACTGTTTGCTGTGTGCTCTTAGTGAACTCAACCTCTCGGAACTCTGGTTTCTTCCTCCATAAAATGAAGCTAGTTATTCTAGGGAACTGCTGCAAAGAATAATTGTGAAGGATTAACTGACGATTTATGTAAAGTGGTTAGCAAGGTGGCTGGTATACAAATCTTTCAAGAAATGGAAGCCATAATGATTGTGATTAGAAGGAATTATGCAATTACCAACCCTGGATTGGCATTTTAGGATTTTCAGTATTGTATTTCTCTTGGGATATTATCTATTGCAGTTTTCAATGAGTCAGGATTTAGAGATATCTGAGACCAAAGAAATAAGGTAAAATAACGTGGCAAAGTACCATGTAGATTATCACTGATAGTCATGATTCTGTATAAGTCTCATTGCTTTGAGATTAAATGCCACCAGTCTAAGAGCTAGAATTGATTGATGTTCTACCATTCTATCATTTAACTTTATGCTGTGTTTTCATTCCAAGCCTTCTCATGTACTTGGCAAGATGATCAAGGAAGCCCTGACCCTGGCTTCTATTTCTACTTAAAACTAAACTCAAATGTCACTAAATGAGGGAATGGATGGAGGTTAAGTATTTTGAGGAGAGGTGTTAGGAAATGCAAAGCAATGTTTCCTAAATGTTTTTACTTGTTTCCATTTCCAGTATGGCTAAGTAAGTTCTACTGGACCTGAAATTCTCACAGATATCAACTATAAAGTACCAAAAGACCAAAAAAAAAAAAAAAAAAAGAATAGAAAAGAAAAAAGAAATTACTAGAGAATAAAAATAAGCAGAAAGATTCTGGAAGGGAGCTGAAATTCAAAACTTGGAAGCACAGATCTGTCCAGAGTGAGTTTCCCATTTTACAACTTTTAGACTGAAAGCAGGCTAAAATTAATGTCACTTCAGATGGCCAGCCTCCAATAGAAAACTCACAGTGTTTTTGGTTTGAAGACCCAAAGAACAAGGTTCAGGGCAATCATAGCCACAGGAAAATGAATTTAGAATCTTGGAAAGAGGAGAGGCAGAGAGGGGAAGCTCCCAAATCTGTATATAAACACTACCCACATTTCTGACTGACTCTTGGATTTATTAATGTGAGACAAACTAAACTTTCAGACAAAAAGAGTTACCAGAGATAAAGCAGAATATTTCATAATAGTAAGTCATATTAAGAAGGTGTAAGAATTGTAGATGAATATGCTCTTGATAAAATTCCAAGTGAAGTCACGTCATGTAATTTTGAGGTATATGTCATGTGTATATTCTTGGATGGAGCAGACACAAATTATCACAAAGGTAAAAGAACTGAACTGAAGTTTGAGCTGCCACCCAAAAGATAGTTTGAAATTTGAGTATAACTAATTGCCTGCTAAAACAAATAAATCAATACCCTTAAGAAAACTGTAACAGGATTCAAACTCTTCATACCATAACATACATACTTGCAAATCATACAAGCCCAAATTACATGATCTATGAAAACCCAATAAAATTGACACATTTTGAAGACAAAAGGCAATTATCTGAGACCAGTTCCAAGATGAGCCAGATGTGGGAATTAACAAAGATTTTAAAGTGGCTACTATAACCATGCTCCACAAATAATAGGAAAATAAACTCACAATGAATAAGAAGGTAGTAAACAGAAACTGCAAAAAGAACCAAATAGAAATTCTGAAAACTGAAAATACAATATTCAAAATAAAAACTCATTGAGTATACTTACAGCAACTGGAGGTAAAAAAGGAAAGTGTCAGTGAACTTAAAGAGATCCATAGAAATTTTCTTTTGGAAGAACTGAAAGAAAAAAAGACTTAAAACAACTGAATAGAAAAAATAAACAGAGACTCAAGGACCTGTGTAACAGAAATTAAAATGCCTAGCTTACATGTAATTGGAGTCTCAGAAGGAGAAGAGAAAGAGAATGAAACAGAAAAAATATTTGAAGAAATAATGGACCCAAATTTTCAAATTTGGTGAAATACATAAATGCATAGATCAAGAAATGCAGTGAACCCCAAATGGGATACATTTAAAGAAAACTGTGCATAGGTACATCGTATTCCAACTGGTGAGCACCAGCAATAAAGAGAGAATCTTGATAGTAGCCAGAGAAAAATGGCACAGTATCTTTGGTGGAACAATGCTTTAAATGAACACTGCCGTCTCGTCAGAATTTATAAAGGCCAGAAAAAGTGAAATGATATTTTTAAAGTACAAATGAGGGGGGGAAAAAAGCAAAAAACTGTTAATCCAGAATTCTACATGTAGTGAAAATACCCTTTGTGAGTAAAGGCAAATTAAGGACATTTTCAGATAAAAGGAAACTAAGAGCATTTATTGTCAGCGGACCTGCACCACAGAAATGCTAAAGGAAAGATTATTCAGGCTAAAGTGAGATAACACCAGATGGAATCTTAAGTCTTCAAGAAGGAATTAAAAAAATTGGAAATTGTAAATATAAGACTATTTTTTCATGATAAGATCTTTAACATACACAGGACCTGTTAAAGCAAAAATTATAACATTGTCTTGTGGTGTTCATGATGTCATATGTATAGATGTAATCCATATGACTTTATAGCATAACGAATGGA